TGAGCATGGGCATAGCCATCCTGGGATGACTGGTTTTGGCAGGTCTCTCTTTGTCTCTATTTCTTATCTGTCTTCTAAACTGTATGTCTCTGTAGCATCACATCCAGCTGTTAGGCTTCATTAATTGCTGGCTGATTACTCCATTTCTTAAAAATAATGTGGTAGTGCATACATTGCTCCACTCTGATCTAATTAAATTTAGGTGTCCTGACAGGGTCGGGCTTTGAGGTTTTCTCTGACCACAGGAGGAGTCATCTTAGAGTTATCTCCTCACCTCATTCTTTCTGGTAATCCAGGGGACTTATAGTTTTGCTTGTTGCTCTCATGGAGTTACCAGCCTCCTCTTTAATTGCTTATCACCAAAATCTCCATCGTCCTTGAGAGTTCCTTTAGGATTGAATTTACTCACACTTTGTTCCAGATCAATTCAATTGGGGGAAGAAGCTTCTACATCTTGTTATTTTAACTTGCCTCTTCATCTGGCAAAATCTCTGAACTACTACTCTGGAGATGACAGCAGGCAAAATCACTCACTTCTCAAGGAATATTGCTGATCCTTCTTTTGTTTTTCAGAGCCAAGGAAATGTATTTTGAACTATTTATGGCCTTTAATAATTGAATAAGGTAGTACACTCCTGTGAGCAAGATTTGGAACGTTTGTTTTTCTCTGCCTGGTTCCCATACAATTTGGAAACTATCTGTGAGTATTCTTATGGCAATATCGTTGTTTGCATCAGTGGAATAAGAATCCATTTTTCTTTTGCAACAGGACACAATTGGAAAAAGTGGTTATTTTACCAAGTCTGTAATTGGAAGGACATGCTTCTCTTTAAGGGGTTAGTCTCAATTTGCAGAGCTGGTAAAAGCCCCATGGGGAGACTGGCCTCATACCCACATCTACAAATTCCCTGTACAGGATTCCCAGCCTGTGGTCAGTAAAGAATGTCACTTTCTAACAGGTCCGGGAACTCCAACTTGATCTTGGGACCTTAAGATGTCAGGATCACCCAGCTCACAGGTATTTGAGGATAAACCCATGGCTGGGCTGGGCTTTAAAAATCTTGACTGAGATCCTTTGGAGAATAGAGTTCCATCAAAGCCAATCTAAAAGGCTTATGTAGAAATAATTGTGCTTGCTGCACTTTATGCAAATAACCAGGACAAGTATAAAACTAGTCTATTTTGCAAACCACTCAGCCCTATCACAATTTGTTTTAACAAAACTGAGGACTGGAGAGAAAGAAATTATGTTCCAAAACTTATCATACATTTGTCATTAAATTCTAAATTCACTAGTTGTTTTTAAGTTTTTGCCTACATTTTAGACAAATCCTGCTTGTTCCTGTGAACCAACCAGCAATCTCTGACTGCAGTTCAGAAAAAAACAAGAAAAATGGGTAGTGTAAAAATCTGGATCAGTATTCTAGTTCTGAGCAATTATCCTGCAAATTCTGCGAAGTGATTGGAATAAATAGGATGCCTATCACTCTGAGGTTTCTTTTTTAGGAAAGTAAGACCAAGAAAGCTAACCAAAGCCAAGCACCATGCACTCAAATCGTACAAGCATAACTGTAGCCACCACTTATCTGGGTGTATCACAAGACATCCTTTTCTTACCCTTGTTGGAGGTCTCATTTCCATAACTTCACCTTAGCATTTGGCTTATGATAAGGAGTCCATTCAATGCCCCTAAGATACATTTTTGTTCTAAACTTAATTCCAAGCTTTGGGTCAAAGCCCTAGGAAAGAGAACTGGATCTAAGGAATCCAAAGGCAGATGACAACAGAGGTCAAAAGACACAGCACAAGTGAGTATGGCGAATTCCTGCCGATTAAGTCAAGCCCAACCTTCCTGTTTCATGGATAAAGCCCACATTAGTATCCACGGCATAAATGAGGTCTAGGGAACTCCAAGGCTACTGACAGAAGGGGAGATAGGGCATATGTTGGTAAGAGCAGACAATTCCAACCCCTAGAGCCCTCTGCTGCATGGGTGCAAGCCACTTTGGTACTCATGGTGGCACCAGCTCAGGTCACCAGGACTTGGGGATATAAGGACAGAAGAGGAAAAGAGGATGCTCTTCCTTCTCTCCCTCACTTATCCTGTGTACCTGCTAGGAAGAGAATGGAACTAGGGATGCCTGCTCCTCTCTCTCTAGTTGGGTAGCCATTCAGCTTCAGTCTGTAACCCTTTCAAATTCATCCTGAACAAATGGGACTCCTTTGAAAAAAACAAAAAAAACCTTATTTTTTTGTTTCTCCTCCTTGGTTCTCTCTTCACAGAGAGGTAATTGTGTCTCTCTATGACAGGACACCCCCCTCAGATGCATCCTCTAAACTGGAAAGAGTTTATCCCCCAAACCTTAAACTGGTTGGCTTAGGATCAGGTTCAGAGGAATAGAAACCAGAAGCCCAACATGTCAGCAAAAGGGTAAAGTTTTTTTTTTTTTAACCAGTCAGTCTTTTGGCCTCCCTCTCCCTGTGCAAACTCATAAAAGGCCTAAGAATTTTTGAGCTGTCCTTACTCCTCCCCTTGTTTTGTTTTGATACATGTTTTCTAATAACCCCATTTGTCTGATCTTGACTTTAGGCCATTGAATTCCAAACTGTCACGTAGTCAGAGCCTCTGATAGATGGCCCTTTCTGCTAGGAACCCTTTGATAGGCCTCTGAGGGAGCTCTGACTGCCATTTTTCCAAACAGCACTCCCTGTCAGCAGGAAGCAGTTAAGACTGGTCTTGGTCCTAACCTTACTCTAAGGGCAGTTAGATGTCCTTCTTAAGAGAGGGGAATGAGACAGCAAGGTGGAAGGGGGCCCCCAGAGAAATTCCAACCAGCCTGCACACTGGGAGAAATGTGCACTGGGATAGAGCCACAGAAGTTCACTTCATTTGCAGTGGGGAGGAGGCTGGCACCTCCTCTTCCTGTGTGAAAACTGGGATTCAAGCTGTGGGACTCTGGCATTGCAGAGGATCCCTGCTTCATTCTTAGTTCCCCTTTTCACTCATCTAAACTCTCCTTTACTCACCCTTTAACCCTTCCAGGAGGCTAAATTTTTGTGGCTGTGGAATGAACAAGAATTCCATTGTGATGGTTAATACTTAGTATCAACTTGATTGTATGAAAGATACGAAGTATTGATCCCAGGTGCGTCTGTGAGGGTGTTGCCAAAAAAAATTAACATTTGAGTCAGTGGGCTGGGAAAGCCTTAATCTGGGTGGGCACCATCTAATCAGCTGTCAGCACAGCTAGAATATAAAGCAGGCAGAAAAATGTGATAAGGCTAGACTGGCCTACCCTCCCACACTACATCTTTCTCCTGCGCTGGATGCTTCCTGCCCTGGAACGTCAGACTCCAAGTCCTTCAGTTTTGGGACTCAGACTGGCTCTTCTTGATCCTCAGCTTAGAGATGGCCTATTGTGGCATCTCGTGATCGTGTGAGTTAATACTTATTAACATCCCATATATATATTTATATCCTATTAGTTCTGCCCCTCTAGAGAACCTTAACTAATAATACACCTACCTTTAACTGAACTAAGGAAAAGTCCCACAACAATATGTTTTGCAAATATTTTCCCCCCATTCTGGAGACTGTCTTGTCATTTTGTTGGTTATTTCCTTTGCCGTGCAGAAGCTTTTTAGTTTGATGTAGGCCCATTTGTTTATTTTTGCTTTGTTGTCTGTGCTTTTGGTATGCTATCCAAAAAATTACTGCCACGGCAGTGTCAAGGTGCTTCTCCCTGTTTGTTTTTTTCTAGGAGTTTTATGGCTTAAGATCTTATATTTAAGTCTTTGATCTAGTTTAATTTTTATATATAGTATAATATAAGGATCTGATACTTTTTTAATTTTTGCATCTGGATATCCAGTCTACCCTACACCATTTATTGAAGAAACTTCCCTTTCCTCATTGTGTATTTTGGTGTACTAGTCTAATATTAGCTGACCGTATAGATTTTCTTGAATAAATATGTATTCATTTGCTATATGCCCTTAGGAAATTTACAGAGACTTTAAATAGGTGCTAGTTTTTAAAAATAATTTTCACCAGTTAAAGCTGTTTTGTATGGGAGCAGCTTTGAGCTCCTCATACTGTCATTCTAGAGTCATATCTCTCCAATTATCTTTAGATGAAACTTAACTGATTAGGGTAAAAGAAACAAATTAATGTAAATGCAAAGAGAACAAACCTGAAGTCTAACTAATCTGGTTATTAATGGTAATTATTATTTACAGATAGATTTATTTGTAGTTCATTAACTGCAAACTTGCTTCATTTGTGTGCTGTAACTAATTAATCAGAAAACTGCATTGAGTGATGGGACTCTAATGTGGTTTGACTTTTTAAATAAATTTCAAGATATGAATATCAAATTTCAGTGGAGCATTAAATAAGCACTTCAGTGGATTGAAAAATTGGTGATTATATACATTTCTCTATAAGGCAAATGCTTCAGTATCTTAAGTGTCAGTGTGCCTATACACCCAGGTTTTAATATGCCTGCACCATACCATATGTTATGTGTGCAAAACTAGCACAATAAGAAATTATATTATTTTATAGAGCACACAGCCTCTGGTTTAATTAACCAAGAAATATTTTTAGAGTGCCCACTGCCTAGAAAGTCACTGTGCTAAAAGATATAGATAGCTCAATAAATGTAGTACCAGACACCTATCTCCAAGAAGCTAATTATTGAACCGGTAATATATTCTCTAAACACATTAAAAATAACTTCTAAGATATAATAGTTTAAAAACAGATGAGTGGTGAGGATGGATTAAGATGAAGGTGAGGCCTTTAATAGTTGAAGTATTTTCTGTTAGATCACTGGTTTGGTGGGGTACAGTGGGGAAGGTTTGCTTCTGCTCCATGTAGTGTTATCTGGGGAGTGGTAGGTAGAGGATGATGATTAATTGAAAGCTGGAGAATTTGCTTCCAACACAGCTCCCTCATGTAACTATTTAAAATTACTAAGGAAATTATTGGATTCTACCTGGATCTTGATTTGTTTAGATGCTCCTGTGGTCCACGAAGGGAGAGTCTCAGATTTTGCATCATCTTATCTGTATGTAATCTGAATCCAGATACTTCCAGAACGGAGAAAGTAGTTTTCTTTTTCTGTCTCCTTGAGAATAATCCACCTAGGAAATTAAGAGAAAGCTGAGTAGTTCCTGGCTTCAAGCAAATTAAAGTAGGGCTGAGGGGGGCAGCCAAAATTATGGCAGTGAGTGGAAATTTGCTTAGGAATTACAGTAATTTCCTCCAAAGAACTATGTGGCTTTATTCATAGTCACCTATTGGGTGCCAAAGCTGCTTGAGACTGTAGAGGCCATATTGGACTATGCTGATGATTTGCCTCAAAAAAAGCATTTGAAGCCAATGGGTTGCATTGATAGGAGAGAAGGCAAGGGGTGTCAGGAAGGTAATTTAGGTGAAAGCTACCACTTCTGAGAGCAATCACTGCTAAAGAGAGTTCCTCCTATAGAAAGCTCCAGGGTATAGCCTCCAGTGGGAACCAACTTTAGCTCCTGACCATCAGTAGTAATGGAAGAAGTCTCAGCAGGACTAAAGATCCTACTATCTTGGCTGGAAATGTCAGCAGGAACTGCTGTGAGCCCCTGAAGGGAAACTATCAGAGAAGGTAAATTTGGATTAAAAAATAGGGAACATTCTTTGGAAGTCAGTGGTCCAACCTTCCCTCCTAGTGAGCACTGACCTTAACATTGATAGGAAGAATAGATTGACATTTAATAGACTTCAGTCAAAAATCATATAGCACAGTGGAAAGAGCATGAGCCTTGGGGACTGTTTGACATGGTTTTCATCCACGTTCTCCCACTTACTTGTTTGTGCCCATTGGTGATTGGTATCATTTCTTGTCATCCACTTAAAAAAATAATAGGGTGCTACAGAGAGGGCTGAATGAGATAATACATGCAATAGAAACTGGTACATTGCAGGTACTCAAAATATAATAGCCAATATTGTTCTTTCCTATGTGAAGTAGAAACTGATGAAACTCCAAGGCCTCTAGCCAATTATTGAGCCTTTGAATTATGTCCTGCCTCTTGTATTCTTATAGAAATTATCTAGGGGAATGTAGTATGGGAAAATTATTAAATAAGTACCAGAAGCAGGCCCTGTGCCTGTGAAAGCCAGCACACTATTACATGGAAATGGACTGGCAATCAGTCCTAGCAGTTTCATGAGCTCTAGAGACCAGCATTCCCCTTCTACTTATTTCCAGTGATAACTGCAGGAGACATCATTATTATACTGGTAAAAGAGCTGTAGTCACAAAAGATTTGGTTTCTGGAAAAAATTTTCAACTTAAGTTTCCCTCACCTCATGTATAAAAGATGCAAGCCAAAATTCTCTTTTAAAAATCCACCACTTGTTTTATTTCTTCTTGCCCAGCTCTATGAATAATAGCTAGATGTTTTGGGTATCACTTTGCAATTCAAAATCTGAGCCTTTCAAGGATGCTTCTTGATTTGATGTTCCAGGTGGCTGAAGAGGAAATGGACTTTAAGTGATTGTTCATGGGTTTGAAAGATCATGATCTATTTCCTGCAGTAGGTTTAATGTGCACCTGAAATTTAGCCCTCACATTTTTCTGATTATGGATACAAATCCTATGACAGTGGCACGTAGCTCATTGTCATGCATATCCAACGTTCAATCTAGGCAGGGCTCAAAGCTGATGGGCACTTCTGTGATTGGCATTTCAGAGTTGCATTTATTTCGGTCCTACACTGCCTTTCTTACTTAACTCCAGCATCAAAGGAATTTGAACAATTTGGCTGGTGGGCACAAGGGAAGGTTATGCCTTACTGTATATATAATCATTTATATTTAGTTCTCTCAAAATATGTCATTCTTTCACAACTCAAATTTTGCATGATTTATTTATAGAAGATAAAGAAACTGACATATTTCAAGAAAATACTGCAAGAATTATGGATGTGAGCATCTGAAGCATCAATATGCATTAAAAATCCATAAAGTTTCTAGAGATACTGCTATTTTTGGTGTAGCATCAAATCATTGTTCTAATAAACATTTTTGAACATTATGAAATATTATTTGCATCTAGAGTTTGGTGCAGATAACAATATAATTAAAATGTTTTATATATATCATTTATACACTCAATCTCAATGAAGTAAATTTATTTTATTATATATCCTTTTTTTAAATTTCAATAGGTTTTTGGGAAATAGGTGGTGTTTGGTTACGTAAGTTATTTAATGGTGATTTCTGAGATTTTGGTGCACCCATCACCCAAGCAGTGTACACTCTACCCAATGTGTGATCTTCTATTCCTCATCCCCTCCCACCCTTTCCCCCGAGCGCCCAAAGACCATTGTATCATTCTTACGCCTTTGAGTCCTCATAGCTTAGCTCCCACTTATGAGTAGGAACATACGATGCTTGGTTTTGTATTTCTGAGTTACTGCACTTAGAATAATGGTCTCCAGCTCCATAACAAAGTAATTCAGATGTTTGTTTAACTACAAAATATTTATTAAGAGTCTATTTTGGGTTGAGGATCCAAGATGGCTGAATAGGAACAGCTCTGGATTGCAGTTTCCAGTGAAAACGCAGAGGGTGAGTGATCACCGCATTTCCAAACGAATTTTTACCACCCACAGACCAGGAGATTCCCAGGTGGAAAAGCACCATGAGTCTCCAGAACAGCTGTTTCAGCCGGCGCAGTGGGTCTCTGCACAAAAACTCACACAAATCTGGGCACCGTTTCAACTGGTGACTGGAACACCTGGGAGACAGTGTCACCCATTCAACTGAAAAAAGGGGACTGAAACAGGAAACCAGGTGATCTGGCTCAGCTGCTCCTACCCCACAAAGACCAGTAATCTGAAACACTCTGGATTGAGAATTTCACAGTAAGCACAGCTGGACCCGGGATGATCCAGCTCTGTGGGGGGAATGGCGTCTGCCATTACCGAGGCAGTCCACCACTACTGAGGCAGTCCGCCATTACTGAGGCAGTCCACCATCAAAGAGACAGTCCACCATTAAAGAGACAGTCCACCATTATTGAGGCAGACTGCCATTACTGAGGCAGTTCTAACTATTCCCCTATAAACAAAATGGCAAAGAAGCTCACATGGCACCTAGGGAGAGCTCATAGCAGCTCAGCAATGCCTCTGCTGGCAGACTGTGACTAGGCTACCATCCTCGCTGGGCTGGGCATCTCTGAAAAAAGGCATCGGAATGACAGGAACTTTGAAATAAAGCCCCACCTTCCAGGGACAGAGCACCTGGAAAAAAAAAGGCAGTGATGAGTTCTGCTACTAAAGACTTAAAAGTACCTGCCAGCAGCTCTGAACAGAACAACAGAGCTCACAGTTCAGCACTTGAGCTCCTGTAAGGGACAGACTGTCTCCTCAAGCAGCTCCCCAAGGCCCATATAACCAAACGGACACCTCATAAAGGAGAGCTTAGGCTGACATCTGGTGGGTATCCTTCTGGGACAAAGATAACAGAAGAAGAAACTGGCAGCAAACCTTACTGTTCTGCCGCCACTGCAGGTGATTTCCAGGTAAGCAGGGTCTGGAGTGAACCTACAGCAGTCCTACAGCAGGGGGGCCTGAATGTTAGAAGGAAAACTAAGAAACAGAAAAAATAACTTCACCGGCCACAAAAAGGACGTCCACTCAGAGACTCCATATGAAAGTCACCAACCACAAAGACCACAGGTAGATAAATCCACAAATATGGGAAGAAACCAGAGCAAAAAGGAAAACCAAAATGCCTCTCTTCCTCTAAGGAATCACAACTCCTCACCAGCAAAGGAACAAGCCTGGATGGAGAATGAGTCTGATGAATTGACAGACACAGGCTTCAGAAGGTGGGTAATAACAAACTTCTCTGAGCTAAAAGATCATGTTCTAATCCAAGGCAAAGAAACTAAGAACATTGAAAAAAGGTTTGATGAAATGCTAACAAGAATAACCAGCTTACAGAGGAATATAAATGAATTGATGGAGCTAAAAAACACAACACGAGAACTTGGTGAGGCAGACACAAGTTTCAATAGCCAAAGTGACCAAGCAGAAGAAAGGATATCAGAGATTGAGATCAACTCAATGAAATAAAACGAGAAGGCAAGATTAGAAAAAAAAAGAGTAAAAATAAATGAACAAAGCCTCCAAGAAATATGGGATTATGTGAAAAGACCTAATCTACATTTGATAGGTGTACCTGAATATGATGGAGAGAATGAATCCAAGCTGGAAAACACTCTTCAGGATATTACCCAGGAGAGCTTTCCCAACCTAGCAAGGCAGGCCACCATTCAAGTCCAAGAAATACAGAGAACACCACAAAGGTATTCCTCAACAAGAACAACTCCAAGGCACATAATCATCAGATTCACTGGGGTGGAAATGAAGGAAAAATGCTAAGCACAGTAAGAGAGAAAGGTCAGGTTACCCACAAAGGGAAGCCCATCAGACTCACAGTGGATCTTTCAGCAGAAACCCTACAAGCCAGAAGAGAGTGGGGGCCAATATTCAGCATCCTTAAAGAAAAGAACTTTCAACCTAGAATTTCGTATTCAGCCAAACTAAGCTTCATAAGTGAAGGAGAAATAAAATCCTTTATGAACAAGCAATTGCTCAGAGATTTCATCACCACCAGGCCTGCTTTACAAGAGCTCCTGAAAGAAGCACTAAACATAGATAGGAACAACCAGTACCGGCCACTCCAAAAACGTACCAAATGGTAAAGAGCATTGATACTATGAAAAAAAAAAGAATCAACTAACAGGCAAAACATCCAGTTCGCATCAAAATGGCAGGATCAAATTTACACATAACAATATTAACCTTAAATGTAAATGGGCTAAATGCCCCAGTCAAAAGACAAAGACTGACAAATTGGATAAAAAGTCAAGACCCATTGGTGTACTGTATTCAGGAAACCCATCTCATGTGCAAGGACACACATAGGCTCAAAATAAAGGGATGGAGGAAGATTTATCAGACAAATGGAGAGCAAAAAAAAAAGCAGGAGTTGCAATCCTAGTCTCTGATAAAATAGACTTTAAACCAACAAAGATCAAAAGAGACGAAAAAGGGCATTACATAACAGTAAAAGGAACAATGTATCAAGAAGAGCTAACAATCCTAAATATACATGCACGCAATACAGGAACACCCAGGTGCATAAGGCAAGTTCTTAATGACCTACAGAGAGACTTAGACTCCCACACAATAATAGTGGGAGACTTTAACACTCCACTGTCAATATTAGACAGATCAACAAGACAGAAAATTAACAAGAATACCCAGGACGTGAACTCAGACCCAGACCAAGAAAACCTAATAGACATTGGCAGAACTCTCCACCCTAGATCCACAGAATATACATTCTTCTCAGCACCACATCACACCTACTCGAAAATTGACCACATAATTGGAAATCACTGCTCAGCAAATGCAAAAGAATGGAAATCATAACAGTCTCTCAGACCACAGTGCAATCAAATTAGCACTCAGAATTCAGAAACTAAGAACCACACAACTTCATGGAAACTGAACAACTGGCTCTTGAATGTTGACTGGATAAACAATGAAATGAAGGCAGAAATAAAGATGTTCTTTGAAATCAATGATAAAAGAGACACAATGTACCAGAATCTCTGGGACACACTTAAAGCAGCATCTAGAGGAAAATTTATAGCAATAAATGCCCACATGAGAAGCAAGGAAAGATCAAAGATCGACACCCTATCATCAAAATTGAAAGAGTTAGAGGAGCAAGATCAAAAAAACTCAAATGCTAGCAGAAGACAAGAAATAACTAAGATCAGAGCAGAACTGAAGGAGATAGAGACACAAAAAACCCTTCAAAAAATCAATAAATCCAGGAGCTGGCTTTTTGAAAAGATAAAACAGACTGTTAGCCAGATTAATAAAAAAGAAAAGGGATAAGAATCAAATAGATACAATCAAAAATGATAAAGGGGATATCACCACAGAAATACAAACCACAATCAGAGATTACTACAAACATCTCTATGCACATAAATAAACC